AAAAAAATAGTTTAATCTAACAAAATAAACCATCTGTCATAAAAAAATATATTTAAGTCTGGTACGATATGTCGAAATTTAAAATGCCGACCTTAAAAACACCGAAAAAAATGTTAGAAAATCAAGAATGTCGAGAAAAAATTGTCGACATATCGTACCAGACCCGTTTTTCAAACATTCAACTTTTTCGACATTCTCGACGTTTTGGATTTTTTCGATCTTTTCTTCATTTCAAAAGGATACGATTTCGACATTTTCCGTTTCTGTAAAACATTATTTCGATTTAAAAAATTATATTCTACAGTAAGTTTTTCATTAAAAACGGTCTCAAGCTCAATAAAAACTGTTGAATATAATTGTTATAAGGCCATAAAATAACAAAAACAGATTTAAAAAATTTTTAAATTTCGACATTTTTATTTTCGACTTATCGTACGGATCCCGTATTTTAAAAATAGTTCTTGAAAACCCGCCAATTTTTTTTAACCATGTCGGCCGCTGTGGTGTAGGGGTAAGCAGTGCCCCATCAACATCATAAAAAAAAAAATATAAAAAAGTTTTTTTCTTAACAGCGGTCGTCCCTCGGCAGGCAATGGCAAACCTCCGGGTGTATTTCTGCCATGAAAAAATAGCTTCTTATAAAAATACAATCGCCGTTCGGAGTCGGCGTAAAAATGTAGGTCACTCCGCTTTGTGTGCCAACTACTAAGCAAATCAACTTCAAAAAGTTCAACTGTTAATAGCTAAGTTAGCTTTAGGACAATTATGACCATCCACCATAAAGTCTCCAACTTTATTGAATTTAACAACTATAGTTTATAATATACGTTTTCATTTCAAAGACGTTGCGCAAAGGCAATCCAACCGAGTCGACGCATTAATAAACCGACTTGCAAGAGATTATCAGTATTGGTACGGCTCAAAGTCCACAAAAAAACTAAAACTAAATTATTGACTCTAAGTCCATAACAGAAGCTAATTGTCCTCGAAAAAAGTGCCAAACATTTGACCTCAATATACGTATATATTTATATATATGCATATATATATTTATTTATATTTTTGTAGTACACATACATATACATAATTATGTAGTATTTATGCTTTCTGTTTGCAATAAGTGAATTGGTAGATTTTTTTACGGTTCATCGAATGCAAAATTTGCCGCTTCTCTAGCTTTTGAGTTCGTTTTGTGTGTTATATTTAAAGCAGCATATTTGCCTTTGGGATGTGTTTGTCTGTTGCGCGTGTTGTTGCTGTATGTGGGAGCTGTGGTTTTGGGCTTCTATATGCTATATACTGTGGGTGGATTCATCACAATATCACCCGTGTTTATTTATACTCATATATCTTTTTTATCGCTTCAATATTAATTAAACATACATAACTGTGTATTAAGTGTTATAAGAGTGCAGCAGCGGCAACAGTTAAATTTATATTTGTTGTTGTTGTCTTTTATGCAGTTGCTGGCACTGCACCACTA